CCAGTTGGCTATAGAGAAGGGAACAGCATTCAGCTGAGTCACCCAGGGTGTCGTGTAGGAGAACACAGTATTGGAAGACAAATAAACAGCTTGATCATCCAGCAGGCCTGATTGCCAAGCTAGTTACAGCTGGTTTTCAACTAAGCCTGGTTATACAGAGCATTGGTCCAGAGGGGCTGTAATCCTGTTCAACTAAGCCACTTCAGTGGGCCAGGCACTGCAGATGTCACATATCTACACTTGGGTGGGCACCCAGGTGAACCAGCACATCAGTGTCATCATGCAGAACCACCAAGGAGAACACCAAACTAGTGTCTCTATTTCAGAGAAGTCAGGTCTCAGGTAAGCCTAAAGCATTTTCCTCCAGCCATGAAATATCTGTAACACTGCAGTACAACTTGTAATGTTCCACCTCTTGTTCCTCTTCCTCAGCAAAAATGGCAACACTGCTTTTTAACTTTCCTTTTATGCTGCTTTGATATAAAATGCAAAGGACTGGTTGAACTTCTGGTACTACTCTCTTACTAGTACCCCTTTATTGTGTGTCTTGTGCCAAAGAATATTAATTATTGTAAGCTACAGTGAAGCCCATCCCTACCTCCGCTTGAGCCTACTAAAATGAACAGTGAAGTTGAACTTTGCCAGCAACTATTAGGAAAAGGGCCAAGAACAGCCTAACAGGAAAGATACTGAGGATTTTTTGTTTGTTTTTCTGCTAAACCATGTTTTCGTAATTATGAATACTTTGTTGAAATTGCTTACAAAAGGAAGTGCACATAAAACGGTCCATACAATTAAACTAACTACATATTACAGTTGAAAGTATATAAGGCTGGTCTCACTCTGTTGCACTCACACAGGGAAAAACCTCTTCTTCAAAAGGAACTTGGCTTGAGAAGGCATATCTGGAGACAAATCGTAGTTAGCTTCAGGCCCATGTGCCATATTGTCTGGTTTATGACTGCCCCAAATGGCCTAAAAACAAAGGACATTCACACTGAACAAAAGCAATAGCTGAAAGAAAGAGGAATTTGAAAACTGTCATTTCCAAATCCCTTCTACTCAAAAGCTGGTTGAACTCCGATCAAGAACCCTGAACAATGCAGCAATTACTTTATGCTCCTAAAACTATATTCTAGTAGGCTGGGGAGAAATAGGACTACTTTATTTTGCTCAGAATCACATGAACACTGCTTTAATCATCCCCCACTTGCTCCTGCTGCCTCTCCCCAAGCTTAGGTTTGTAAAATCCTGAATCACTAAACTGAGGTCACTTGCCAGGGCAGCTTTCTCTTGCTTTCCAGGATGAATGATTCTGAGGTATCAAGAACATTTTTCCAGTGTGGGAAAATACAACTTCGTCCTCTAAGTAAGTTGCAGCAGGACCACTTCAAACTGCTGCACTTCAAATAATGTTTTATGATTTCCATTTAAATGGTTTTCTCTTGGAAATGGCAATTAAACAGAAGCAAACTGCTCCTGAATCCCATCACAATGAGGCATACGGAGTGTTACATGCATACCTCGCTGTGAAAGGAAAATGTCATCCTAGAGCGAGCAGGCTCAGTATTGGGTTTATAAAGCAACCATTTTATGATTCAGGGTTAAGAAACTTGGGGTTAACTGAAGGAAAATTAAACTTGTCCTTGACTGATACAGCTAACTAAACTTTTAGAAGCACATATGCAATATTTATGTCCTATCAAGCACTTTCACTTTCCATAGTAACAAGCCCTCTCTCCTGTACACAAAATGGATTCGATGCATAAACAATAGGGCTGAAAACATGCAAAATCAAACCTAGGTCTACTTTAATACAAACCTAGTTTTTAAGGCTGATTCTGACCTTGTACAGTCCCTTATATAAGCAACAGTGTGCTGCCATTTGGCTGAGATCAAAATAAAGCCTCCCATCTCCGCAATAAACAGTACTGCAAAGCACATTATAGTGGGAAACTGGTAAAGTATGTATGACTGGTTTTACCCACACTGTGTAATTGCTTTGAAGCCTGTAACAGCAACTAACTATTGCCATCTTAAGGTGGTCCTTACTATTGCTGCAGATGAAGCTAAGCTAGCTGATGCTGCTACTGCACACGCTTCTCATTACCCACACTGTCACTTGCAAGTTCTTGAATAAGACAGTTAGAAGTGCTTGCTCCAAGATTACTCAAGTCCTGCAGCACAGTTCTCCTTTGAAAACACACATCATTATATTTAATATTAAGAAAAGATACTGCAAGATACACATTTTCTCCCTTCTTCCTCTCTTACATGAAATTGTATTAGAGACATCTGATCCCTGGCCAAGTATATCTGCCAAACCCAGATCTCTGCTTCTAGTGATGCCGCCTAAGTGGTACTGTTGCATTTGTTCTGCCTAGCTCTACCTCTACAGCCTACCTGCCTAGACAGTTTTGTAACCAGACAGTGCTCAAAGTGATTCATAAACTATTAATTTATAGTTTATAATAATTTATAGATACATAAACTATTAATTTAAACTATAAATTTATTAATTAACATCTCATGGTGTGAGATGACTACTGGCCTGATTTATACATAGGAAGTACAGGTACAGCACTGAGTTGCAGACAGTCAGGGGATTCCTACCTTCCACCCCTTGGCAATGACAGTCATGAAGTAACTTGGTGGATTTAAAAAAACCCTCCTTTTTCTGCCTTTTATTGTAAGACACATTTGACATCTGTAATTTAAAAATGTGTTTTAACACTATTGAACAAGCCAACTAACTTCTAGCCGAGCAGCCCCTGAACTTTTTGGTACTCACACATCTTCTGCCAATTCAAGCAATTCCCAACTGAGTATGAACTGTGATGATGCTACAAGGGCAGGCCATAACTGGGAAGTTAAAAAACAAATTGATGACCAAACCTTCCTATATCACTGGTTCCAAACCCATTCACAGAGTGAACGAATGCAGTGCTACCTGCTTCTGTAGAAGAAATCTGCTACTTTCAGTCCAATGGGCCTGTGAAAAACCTTCCATCCCCTGCTGGTCCTTCCGCCAGATGGACTCTGCAGGGAAATGGGAAACTGAAAAGGGTACAAAGTGGCCATCTCATCCACTGCAAGTGCCCCAACAGGACAGCAGCACTGACACACAGCAGCAGGAAAACTTGCATTCCCCATACCTGCTGCTGTATCTCTTCTGAGAGTGAAAATGAGACCTAACACTTTAATCACCTTGTATTTCTCCCAAAACATCTTACAGCAGAAAGCCTAGATGCCTCAAACTGGAACGAGTAACTCCTAAAATCTGTTGGACATGCATTTGTTTTGGATGTAAATGTTACCCTTAAATATAAAGGCATCCGAAATTCTTTTTTGTGTATGTTTTTTTTTAACTGAATCACTGCAACTCTCCTACACATTTGGCATCCTGTAAGAACATCAAGTTAATTCAAGTACAAATTAGATAGTTCCCTTTGTTTGTTGCCATTCTCTTCGCAGTTTAGATCTTGCATACTGCAAAGAGATAGAGCCCAAAGGCAGGCATGTCAATTTGTTACATTCAAGTGCTTTTCTTTACCACTTAAACAGTATTTAGTTTCAGTAGACTTCACCAACTTTGCAAGAGGTTGTAACAAGCTGTTATGAAACACTTGAGTAATTCAACATAAATATGGAATCAAACAAGCTGAGATCAAAGTGCTTTAACTGAATTTTATAGAAGTGAAAGAACACACATTTCATTTGTACTTTAGGTAGACCATAGCTTTCTGTTCTTACAATTATTGCAATGTGCAGTTTGCTCAGTACAGAAGTGCACATAGCTGCATAGTCATTTATACAACTAAACTTGTCTATTTAAGATGACTTTTACAATTACCTGAACACGTCTGGAAGTTCTGACTTGTGTGACCAAGTGAATTCAGCCCCACTACTCACTGTCCCAATACCCAGAGATGAGGTGTTCCCTCTTTACTCTGCCCAACAGTGGCACCCAGTGGTCAAGTGTTTTTATGAACATTTTGGGAAACGGCTGCTTTTCCAAGTTCCCACTCACTGGATTTCCTAAACACAGCTAGAATCAGTTTAAATGCACTAGCTGTTTTATTACTAAGGTTCAAACTACTACCGACTATTTAAACTGTGCAGAAAACCTAGCACTGCCGGTGAAGAGCAGCCAGAGCTAGGAAAAATGCACAGCACCTGAAACAATGCGCAGAAGGCAGCCAGCCATGCCTCAAACCAAAGCCAAGGTTACTATAGTCAAACGTAACAGCAGAATTGTTCTTTTAAAAACCAAATATACCACCTCAAACAATAAGATATTTTATACATCCTGATACAGCTCTGCTTTTCTAAAGGTCCCAGTACTCAAGAGAATTTCCAGAGCACATCAGACAAAATCCACACTTCATACAATTTCCCAAGAATTAAAAGCAGTAGTAACGCTAACAAACCCCCAGATATTAGAGGCATTCAGAAGTCCCTATACTAAATTATTTTCCATCAGTAGCCAGAAAAATGCAATGCTCCAGATTTTTGGGCATTAACCAACAGAAATATGTAGAGGTGAGCCAGGACTAAATTCTGGAAGACTCCATTTAACGTTCTTCCCTCTTGCACAGAGAACTTGGTTTCAGGCAATCATAGTCTCTGCAAGTACAGGGAGGTCAAATGTCAGGATAGCATGTCAGGAAGGTAAAGGAGAAGATAAGAAAAGCAAGTTACAAAGCGCAAAGAAGGCAGCACAAATAGAACAATGCTTTTCTCACTAAACCAAGGCTGAACCAAAAGCATTATCAGGAAAGTCTGTGAACCTAAATTTCAGTAAATTAAACTCTACCATATTGTAGCATAAGGGATTGTGAGAAGGGGATTAAACTGAGACTGGGATTAGATCTATCAACAGATGAAGATGAGATGAACAAAACTGACTTGTAACTCTTAGGCACTTCCTTATCACGAACTCCTCTGGTTTCTAAAACCACTATCCCTTCTAACAAAGAAAATATTCACCATTACAGCAGTCAAGCTTCTTGAAAAAATTTATTAAGACAGATGTCTCCATAATACAGGTAAATAGTACATCATAGATTACATGCTTATAAGCAAGATGAATTAGTCTTTTCGTAATTGGACAATTTCCTCTTTAATTCCATCTTTTGTGACAATGCAGATCTTAAGCGCATCCCCAGTGTACACATCTCTCTCAGCAGCAGAAATAAAGACATCTTTAACCAGCTGCAAAGCCTTTTCCAGGGTCAGGGGTAGATGTTCCACATTTTGCATGTTCTTGAAGCCAATCTAAGAAAAGATGAAAATGTGTTTTAAGGGAAGTATCTAGCATGAAAGCTGCTTCACTCTCCACTAGACTGAGCAGATTTAGACAACTTCAAAAGTAGAAATGGTTGATCTGTTTTAGAAACCCAAAGTTGGTAAAAGTATTCCTCAACACAGTTCACAGCTGCATGATCAGCATCAGAACTTTGCCACTCCTGATACTCTTACAAAAGTAACTAGAGGCAGATTCAGTACACAGCCAGTATTGCTCCTCCCGCCCATTCAGCATCTACAAGATCACAATGAACATTCAGAACTCAACCCATCTAATTCTTCAGACACTGCTCACTGGGTTAGCAGTATCAGAACTGCACCCAAGCCTTTTATCTGGTCATTGACAGCTGGGAACATTTCTTAAAAGCAAATATTCATCAACATACCTAAGTTCAAAAATAACAGACTGGGTGATAACCAGTCCTATTAAACTGCATATTCTAGCTGACAAACTCAAGTGTCCAGCTTAAGCACCAGAACAGGAAAAGAAGGGTAAGAGTCACTTACTTTGCCTCAAACTTGTTAAGTAAGAAAAAGTCACTATGACAACTTTAATTCCACAGAAGATACCTTATTTTTCTCAGTCAATAAAATTCAAAACTAATTCAAAGCTCAGAATCTGGAGTTCTTTAAATAGTAACAATAAATAATAATAATCATCATCATCATCATCCTTTCTCAGCTAATAAGAACTATAAGAACACTAAAGTTGTGTTGGTATCAGGCTCAACTGACCAAGTACCAACACCAATGTCAGCAAGTAAAATTAGTAAAACAAGCTTTGGTATTTCTCTCACTTAACAATTACCAGCTGCAATTAACTATTAAAATATTCTTCAAGTATTTTAGACAAAACTTTCTATCATCAGTTTTATGTAAGAACATTCTTAGATAACAGTGTCCAAGTTGTACAAAACTTAAGACTTCTAAATAAGTGTATGTTAAGTGGCAAAAATCTGTTCTATACACCTATGAATTCTATCTTCATAATTTAGTATTATTTCATGCTAAGTAACAGGCCTACTGACGCTGTCAGATAGGAAAAAAACAAAACAACTAAATCAAACACCACCACCCCCCCAAAATACCAACAAACAACAAAAACCCAAACAAACAAAAACCAAACAAACAAAAAAAAAACCCCAACAAACAAAAAAAACAACAAACAAAAAAACCCCACACAAACAGAAAAAAAACTGAACAGCTTATATGGGAAGCATAAATCCCCAATTAAAATATTTATCCCCAATTAAAATATTTACCTGTATGTTAAACACGCAGCCCACTGTTTGCAACCTATTAGAAACCTGAACAGATTCTAAAGCAGAACTTTGATTTCTGCTGAGAAGGTGAAGCCCCAAAATTTATAAATGTATTGAGATTAACAGGTCCTACCTGCAATACGTTTAAAGCTTTTCCCAAAAGTAGTATTCCCCAGAATTAAAGCTATATTTGAGTGTCACAACTGTTTACTGAAATAATGAAAGGGGTGGGTGAAAGAGAACTGTTTTACCTGGTTATCAAGCAAGGGTTGCAGCATTGCACTTGCTGATCCAGCTGCTTTGAAAGAATCTCTCTCATATGAGCCCACTGGATCAAAGCTATATACTGCTCCCTTCCCTGGAAAAAAAAATTTAATCACAATCCAGACATGTTATCCATAAGCAGTTTCTGGAGTACCGCAGATCTCATCAACCTTTAACCAAACAACACTACAGTATATGTCCAGACTGCTTTCTATAGCAGGCTCACTATGGTTTTGGCCTGGTACTATATGCAAGGTTATTTTCAATATTTAAATCACAGCCATGCTCTAACAGATGTTTTCTACAGTACTTACCACAGAAAACGTGCTGAATAATCAAAGCAGGTGAATATGCTAGAGCACAGTGCTGCACAAAGGGCTCTGCTGGTTCTAAACCGAACACAGAGGCAGTTTAGCCATCTATACTATTTAGCCATTTAACTATACACGTCTTGAATTACCTTCAGAGAGCACGCTCGGATGGCTCTGCACTGCCTTCCCAGAACCCGGGATGATGCTTTGGTCTCTTATACACTCACCTCTGGAGTCAGGCCAAGTTGTGCAACGTTTATTAGCTTGTGCTGACATGAGAGATGCAGACGCACTGCAGCTCTGAAGCATCAGGGTTTGACGAGGACATGCTAGTCAAAATACAGCACCTGGCCAAGCTCAGCTTTTCTATTCAGATGAGCTGCACCCTATTTAATAAACTGGCCGGTGCACTTGGCAGCACAGCACAGGTGGCTGAACAGCCCTGAGAAAGCTAGCAGAGATCCAGGACGTAACACTAAATCAAAACAGTTCTTCTAGACCCAAATTAAGCTCATGCATGCAAATCTGCACTCTGATTCTTATCAATTGCTACAACACCCTCATGATCTGAAATTTACCATTATGCAGTACAGACTAATCCCTTTCCAGACTCTACGTATCATAGACATGTCTTAGCAAGACTGGGAAAGCAGTGCAACTTAGCAGTAACAACAAACTGTGGGGAATGGCAGAAATTGTGCAAACAAGACCACCTCTGAGCTCCTGCTCAAATACAGAGACCAGAGTATTTTAGCAATTCAACCAAATCATTGGCCAAGAGCCCAGTAAGTCCCACGAGATTTGTATGTTAAACTATAGCTTCCAGGTAAAAGTCATGATTTCATTAAAGGTTAGTTAACATTTAAAGATATCTTCATAGAAACACATCTCTGGAGTAACTCTTCGTATTTAGTAGCTTCTACCACACTCAGAGGCATTAGTAAGATATATACAATTTTACCACTAGCATCTCCTTTGAAGACATAAATAAGAAATCCAGAAGCTGCTATACTGTTCCAGTCTACAGTAAAGTATGAGAGATTAACAAACTTCAATTGTTATCAAATAGTAACGGTTCTTAGACTTTCAGACCTTCAGAAAGGGAAGATCCAGTTAGTAGCAGAAAATAGGTAACAAGTCACATGCATAACTTGGATTTGACCCAACAGGCACACAAACTTTGTTATTCCATCAGTACACCACCCAAGATGTAAAAGGGCAGCTATTCACCCACAGGAATTTAGCCCCTCTTTCTTGTTTTGTAATTAAAGTCCTACCTTCTTCATCAAGTCCACCAATTATGTTGTAAACATAGTAAGGGAAGAAACGCCGAGAATACAGAATTGTAGACAGCATTGCTGCAATAGCTCCAGTAGTCATGGTCTTGTTATTGGAATGCTTGTACATCTGCAAGTGGGATGGCATGTTCAAGAAGAAAGTCAAACACGAAATCAAAATCACATTTCTGCAACCTCACTACAGAAAAGCCTTATGCTAAGCAAGATTATTAACTAGCATGACTGAAAACACACCGGCCTTCTTACAAGCCCCAGCTTAACATTAACCTTTCTCCAAAGTTTTGCAAAGAATATATGTTGCCTCATTAACACTTTCCTCTCCATGTCTCCCAGTCTTTCAATTTGTGATGTTACAGTTGGGAAGAACAGAGCATCTACTTCCCCTGCTTGACCTTTCACCAGCAACACAGTTGTTGATACAGACACTTGAAGAAAACCAGCAAAACCTGTATTTTAAAACATACCACACTACTGGTCTCAAATGTGTTAACAATGTAAATTCTAAAAGCAGTAAGACAGATAGCTACCTTTAATCTTGCTTCAATGATCTTAGTGAGGGTAAGGCAGTCGCCATGGAAACCAGTGCATCCAATGACCGTTTTGTCTGTTCTGTAAAAGGTAAAATTTTGTTGTGATTTTAGATTTAGTGTGAACCACGCCACTTACTTACACAGCAGATTGCTATGAATACACCAAACGTACTTTCAGGTTCTCTAATACTATCAAAAGCAGTTGTCTAAAATGTAGTAGTAACAAATATTTTGTTTATGAAAGGTAACTGCAACCTACATCTCAGACAGGTGTCATTAAGTGCAGGACTTCACTGATGTCTGTGGATGCTCTAGGTGTTTTTTTGTGACACCAAACAGAAGTTACCTGATTGCGGCTGCATTACCGGTCAACTCACTGATCAGTTTCCAAATGTTTCATTAATGCTATCTACACAAGTGCATGTTTGAAATTTAATTTCCAGTAAATTGGGGAGAGTCTACAAACACTCACACACACTTACAGTTTAAACTGAAATGTTCTCTCAGCCTGTCACTAGAATTACACAAGGCCAACATGTGCAGTATACAGACTGTACTGCGCTAAAGTCCATCCGGACAGAATCAGAGGCAAACATATAGTAAGGAATTAGCCAGGAGAAACATAAGTTCACATGATCTTGTATCATCAATAAAAACCAAAGCACAACCATAATCAAAAAATATTTACACAGCTGATGGCAGCCTAGGTAAGCACCTGCTACAGTCAAAAGAATGTAAACAATATTATTTTTAACTATGCAGATGCTATCTAGGTGGGTTGAGATAAACACAGAATGAACATAAGAAGTTCAACAATGGAACTACCGACAGGTTTACCTCTCCTAAAACAAACACCTCTTCAAAGTGCCAGATGGTTGACTAGAGACACAGCACAGCTGGCAGCAGTGGGCACATTTGTGTACCAACACCAGCTGCCCTGATGAAGCAGAATAAGTTACCACAGGATGAAGTTTTGCTATAGTTAAGACAAAGGTACTTCTGTTTAACCAGAGCAGATAGATAAATAGATAAATAAATACCAAACAAACAAGAAACCTAATAAGCTTATGTGCTTAGCATCATGTTAAATACCCTGTATCATGCTAAAAATACAGTCTTATCAACTAACTTCAACAGCATGAAACAAGAAATCTGGCTGTATTTACAACATCACATCACATCTTGCATTACATCAAGAGTCCCCATAACTCCAAAATCAATTTTCTACCATTTTTTCCCTGAAAATTCTGCTTAAAGAAAGCAACAGATCATTCCAGGCAGGTGACATGCTCAACACTACAGCTCTTTCTCCATGTTTCAATTCTTACAAGATGTGGACTTACAGCCTGTAGCATTTTGGACTGTCCCGGCAGTGAATTGAATAACCTTCACTCAATCGTGTGTCAGAAGCAACTATAGAAAAGTCTTCTCCAGCAATCGCCAGCACAGTCCTTGAAGAAGAATATTCATATAATCATGACTTTCAGCACAAGCATTTTCTTAGGCACCAGAGGAATACACTATATAGTAGTTCCATACAGACTCACATTTTGTCATACATCTTATATTCCTTGCTATGTTTCCCACTAAGCACATCCCCACACATGACTCAAGACTGGAGAAAAAAGATACTAGACACTGAAGAAAATACATGTATGTGATTCTCTACTTGAACTAAATACTGTATGGAAACTTAATAAAAGTTTTCTATACAATGCAAGAAACAGACTGTATGGACTAGTAATTTTAGATGCTTGCTAGTGAAAGATTCACCCTTCTAAAACAGTTTGCCTCTCCAAGCAAAAACACTCCAATCAAGTAGTGAACATTAATATCATTACACTTATCATCACTTTTTAAATCTGATGTTATTTATTTCCAAATAATTCGTTTTGTTATTTCCACATGCGTGCCACCATTAAGTAACAAACAGATGCCCTAAAGAACAATTAGGTATTAAAAAAAAGAAATTAAAAAAATCTAAGTAACACTATCCTGGCCAGATCCTGTCACCAACTCACTGCAAGTGCCTGTAAAACATCACCTACCTCTAACAGTTACAAGGTAGCTTTCAACCCAGTTGCAGGTTTAAAGGCTGGTAATACCACCAGTGCATGTGCTTCCTGAGCCACTTACAACCTACCCTATGGGGAACGCAAGGTGCTTATTTTAGCCCACAGAAGTTCAGGAAGCCATAGGGCCAAGCAAAAACGTGCCAAAGAGCTTCAAGAACTCGCGGGACGCTCCGCCCTGGGCAAGAGCGAGACCAGCTCTCCTAGGCACTACCTCTCCTTCTCTACCAAGAGGCACTCGTAAGGGTGAGACAAAAGGCGCAGGAGAGAAGCAAGAGCAAAACAAGGAAGACCAGGTCTACTGCCACCCTCCTCAGGGCCCCTTCCCCCGGGAAAAAGGTGCCCCAGCCCGCCTCGCCCCCCGCCTGCGGCTCCTCACCCTCCGTTAAAGGTGTAGGGCGAAAAGCGATGCTGCACGGGCGCGCCGAGCTCGTAAGCCCTCTCAGGTCTGAAGTCCTCATAACCAGCAGTAGACAACATCCCGGCGACGCCTCTCGCTGCTGTCTCACGGCAAAATGGCGGCACCGGAAGCGGAAGTGGTGACAGACCGCTCTAGGTTGGCAGTGGCGGCCACCTCTCGTCTGCTCTGGAGGACAAGCAGAGGGGGCAAGGGGCTCCCTGCTGGCGGGCGGGTTAAGGGTGCTGCCTGGCCGGCTCCCACACAGCCTCTCCCGGATGGGGTTACCGCCTGGTCCAGTGTCAGCCCTCTTCTTTCGAGTGCCTGGTCACGCAGGTGACAACAGTTGTGGTGAGGTGTTCAAGGAGCCTCGTGTGTTTGGGCAGATGAGGAGCAGTGTGGCTCCTGCGCTGGAATAGGGGAGCGCCTTGAGAAACACTGTGGAGAGCAAGGGTCAGAAACCACAGGAGGTCCGTGAGGAGGCCTAGGGCGCGGTGCCAGGCACCATGACACCGATGGAAACAAGCAGGATGGGGTTAGAAGCTCCAAATGGTGCCAAGGGAGCAGAGAGAGATGCGTGCGGTCCTCCTCTGGAGGAGAAGCGTGTCTCCCTGCCCGGGAGGAAGAGTTGCTGCTGCTGAAGTCTCCATGGGAGCAGTGCACAGCGAGCAGTGGCGCCGCAAGGTGCGCGACTGCGGTAGACAGCAAGGGGCAGCGATATGTACAGCTAGAAAACAGGGCATACCCTTCCAGCGCAGGAACCCGTGGCCAGGCCTGACACTGGGGAAGCGAGTGGGTACGACAGCCCAGCCCTGTCCTGCCCTGCCCTGCCAGGCCAAGGAAAGGCGCTAGCCAACCCCGCTTCCCCATCCCTAGCACATGCCCCCCCTCGCCCTCACTGAAGATGGCGGCGGGGAAGGCGGTGGTGGCGCGCGGAGGAAGTGACGCGCTCGAGGCGCGCCGACGGCAGTTTGTGTCCCGCGGGCGCTGTGCGGTGGCGGCAGGGTGGCGCCGGGAGCGGCAGGTACTAGACCGCACCGCGCCCGCCTCTCCCGGGGCCGCTGCTCGTCCCGCTGGCCGCGATAGAAGGCGACGGGTGCCAGGGCCACTGGGCTGGGCCTGGAGGGTGGGGGCCGCTGCGCCGGGCCGGGCTTGCTCTGCATCTCCCCGCCGGCCTGCGCCTCGGCCCTCCCCGCCGGCCTGCGGCGCGAGGGGCGGCGCGGGAAGCGGTGAGGGAGCTGCTCCCGCTCGCGGGACTCCGGCGCGTCTCGGGGTCAGCGGCGGCCGTTGGTAACGGGGGCTGGGTGGCCGCGGGCGGCTGCGCAACTGCAACGGTCACCGGTGCCCCGTGTGAGGGTGGGCGGGCAGGCCGGGGGGTCGTGGCGGTGTCGCGGCTCTGCTGGCGGGGGTCTGCACGCTGCTGGGGCCGGTGTGAGGGCGGGCGGGGACCTGGACGGCGCAGAGAGGCGGGAGGGGTGACCTCACCCCGAAACTGGCTCTTGCCGAGCGCTGCTGGGTGTTAAGGGAGGGCTCCTGGAAGCGGGCTCGGAGGTAGGGCCGGGCCTTCTCCGGGGTCTCTTGCCCCTGGACTCCGTTCCCTTGACAAACACGTTCCCCAGATCTTGTAGTGGATCTGTGAGCAAGCCGCGGTTAGATGGTTACAAGATGGACCTTTTTGTAGGTAGTGTCCTGGCTGCAGGTTCTGGCATGCCTGGTATCTAGACTTATTACTAAACAGCCGGGTTGTCGAGGAGTTTATTTTAACAGGGTGATGTTCAGGCTTCTATTTGCTCCTGCTCTAGGTTATAAAAGCTGGATGCTCTGTTTGGTACCTTTGGTGAGGGTAAAGATGATAATATTATGATGGGGTAGAAAGCATGGTTTTCAGCTGCAGTATATTAATGTAGTTCTGAGCTCTCATACCTCACCAGAAAAGGAGAAAGTATAAATAGGCTTTCTTCAAATTTTGAGGTAGTCTGTCTCTGGCCTAATAATGACCTTGACTATTTCTGGGCAATAGGTCTAGTTAAGAAAACTGTAAATTGATGGAAAAATATTTGATTTCAAGGTGTAGCGTTTAAATTGTCCACTTGTGTTGTTTATTTCCGTAACACAGCAACAGAGGTACAGTTAAAAAGTGATAAAAAATCATGTGTGCATTTCACTTGCCTGAAATTGGCTTTCACATGTTTTTTTCTTCATAAAGTGCATGTCATTATTGTTTGAAAGCTGTTAGTGCTTTATTTTATGGAAGTGGATGGAAGAGGGTTTCCTGGTTTGGATTTGATCAGTGATGCTTTTCCTATGGAAGAAAACGTATTTTTGTTTTGTAAGCCTGAGCCTTAAAATTCCTAGGAAGAGACTTCCAAGCAATGTGTCAGCTTGTTGGTTCATAGTCAGGGGAATTAAAGTCTAAAAAAAATCAGTGCTTTTCTGGCTAAAGCAAATCTTGGACAAGAACGGGCATTAACAGCTTGAGTTGTTTGTGGAGGAGGGTTCAGTTAGACAGAGGCCTGCTCATGTGTCAGGGATTTCAGCAGAAGCACACTGCAAAGGTGCTATAGAATGTGCCCAAAAAATGTTATATTTATGGATCGTGCTTGTGTGTGTGCATGTGTAAATGTTTTTATATGTATTTGTACGTGGGTGTCTCTTTTGTAACTCAGCAGCTGATAGTTTCTTTGTGTTTAGTCATTATTCTCAAAATACTACTTTTTCTCTTTTCAGGCTTTAATTGGTATCCTAGACTCATAACACACGTTTCTCTGGAGCTGATGTCTTCCTAACATTTTCGGCTTGGCCTAAAAAGCTACTTTGCTGGAATGTTTTAAAAAGCTAAAAACCCTCTAGGATTTGAAGTTAATTTAAACTAATTGAAGAAGATACTTCTGGCCATACCAAAGAATAACTGGAATAATGGATCAGAACAACAGCTTACCACCCTATGCTCAAGGCTTAGCCTCCCCTCAGGTAAAAACAAATGATTTAATACATAACTATCTGAATTTCTTTGTGAAAGCGTTTTCTGTTTCTTGCATGTAATTTCACATTTTTTGCTTGCACATCTGAAAAGTTGTACCAGGTATTGAATAATAGTAGTATAAAGCAGAATTTTGAACCCATCAATTTGTATGTCCAGAGGTGTAAGTAACATGAGATATATAGGGTTCTTTTAAGTTGAAACATGACTGCCAAGTTGGAAAGAATAATTTAATTTTGGTGGTTGTCCTTTAAATTAACATACGTAATGGAGTGACACTGTGGTATGAATGCATTTGGTAGGATGGGCACAGTCTTTGTTGAAACAACCCTGAGTTAAATTGTGGGTCAGAGTTGAGGCATGCTTGCAAGGTAGTGTGAGAAGCATGTTGCATCACTAGCTTGAGATAAACAGTGCTAGAACTGACAGATCCCTAGAAATAATATGTTATTCTATAAAAGAACTGCATTTCAAGAACTTTCTGGTTTTAACTAGTTACTACTACATGCCTCAGGTTTGATGTGAGTAACTTGTGTTGGTTTATTTTTAGATTCCTCCTGAAAACTTTTTTTTTCTTAAAACCAACATGATGTCAACAGGATCTGTTGTTTTCTTTTTTGTGCTTTCTTCTGTAGGGTGCAATGACTCCAGGACTTCCAATTTTTAGCCCGATGATGCCATATGGCACAGGACTGACACCACAGCCTGTCCAGAGCACCAATAGTCTGTCTATTCTAGAGGAACAGCAGCGGCAGCAGCAGCAACAGCAACAGGCAGCACAGCAATCTACATCACAGCAAGCAACACAGGGAGCATCTGGTCAAACTCCTCAGCTCTTCCACTCACAGACTCTTACCACAGCCCCTTTGCCAGGAACCACACCTCTGTACCCTTCTCCAATGACTCCAATGACTCCAATAACTCCTGCAACACCAGCATCTGAGAGCTCTGGAATAGTGCCACAACTACAGTGAGTGCCCTGTGTGTTAGTGCAGCATGTTCTTTCTCAGATAGCCCTTTAAAGGCTTGAGACCAAAGCCATGTCAGGAATTGGGTGCTGCATCTCGGTGGGAAGAGATGTCCTGAGAATTTATGTGGCTCCTCTAGCAATATGAGTAATTTTTTGCTTTTCTTTTAGCTTAGCTTTATTACTAAACCACTTAGTAATATAAACCGTTTCTTAGAGATTTGTCAACATGCATCTTTTAAGCATACCAGTGGAGGATGTTGCCTGTGTCTTCATTTAGCACAATTGTAGCTTTCAACTCCTCTATGCACTTTAGGAGTTCATTATGCTTTAGCTATGAAGTAGTCTGGGTTGATAATCTGGTATGTCAAAATATGCGTATTTGGAAACATTCTCATTTGTACTTTACTGGATACTCGCAACATGTTCACAAAAAAGCAAATAGCTCCACTTCACTGTGCATAGAACTTTGTTAGTGAGATACTAAAGCAGAAGACAGGAACTGTCACAGCTGAAAGTAATTGGAAGGGTAGAGGGGAAGAAATTAGTTGCTAGTCTAGGAGCTAGAGCTGAATTGTACTTAATAGTCTATGTCCCCTTTTCTAGTCCATGGCTATAGCTGAATTTGTAATGAGAGGGGAAAAAGCTAGAACTAATTCTGGGTTTAAGTATGAAAGTACTTCCACTGGACTTCAGTTTAAAGAGACTTTTACAGCCATTTATGCAAGGCCCATAGAGAAGTGGTTGATAACATGAATTTGTCACTGAAAGAATAGTTCGTCATGTTTATTTTTTCCCCGTTAAGGACCTTTATATCTTAGGGTTTTCACAGAAAAGAAGTTTCCAGTTAAAGTTTGCATCTAGGAGATTCTGTTAAACTTTCTAGAGACCTCCTACCCTATTGCGTAGCAATGGGCGTACTTCCCAGGTTGTTACCACTTAGTCATACAACTCTTCTTCCCATACCAAGGAAAGTTCCAGACTGTACTATTGCTACCTTACCTTCTCCTGTCTCCAGCCACTTCCCTGATTGTGATAGGGGCCCTTAACATCAAAAATTCTTCCTGCTAAACTCAAACAGAGATTTTTCTCATGAGACTTTTTTCATAATAGCTGGCAGATCAGGAGGAATCAGCAGTCATGCTTTAGGAGCTACTGCCCTACAAAAGAAGGTTCCTGAGCCAAAACACTGTTCAGTGCTGCTGTCAGTAGGAAGG